CCGTGAAGGATGCTAGTAGGATGATCCCTACGATCAAAGGTGATTGGATAAGCTGACCATGGGTTGAATTTGGGGGCGACTGGCTCCATCGAATAGACATCCCGTAGTGCTCACTTCCGTTCCCGTAGATGACCATGGATGTGAGTGGCGTAGATCATGTTGACCGTTTTCACCTGGGGGGAACTTCTTTTGTCCCCCCGTGTTCGGACGCCGGGGCTCTTCATCATTGTCGCTATGCAGCCCCTTGTCCTTGTTTTCGGTGTTTATTTTGTGGGCCTGTTTGAACACCCAGCAGTCTCTATTGGTGTGGTTGGCTGGCTTGTCCGAGGTGCCATGAATTTGGCACGAGCATTCCAGTATGCAGTCCAGACTAGACGGTCCTTGATTATTTCTTTTGAACGGCTTTTTCGCTGACCGGACTTGGATCAGCTGAATCCGGCGTTTACTGCCGTGTCTTCAGTGTTGTCGCCGTTGTTCCGTCACTTGTGTCTGTTGCGTCGTGGCTTGCCGTTGTTATCGCGGATACCTGAAGTGCCGGAATGTGGCACGGTGCCGCTGCGGGCCAACTAGTTGTCCTCGCCTGCGCAAAAGCAGGTCATTAGAGTTGTGAGAGCTGCCATGGACTTGAGTTTTTCCTGGCCGAGGTGTCGAGCAAGCCACTCGTCACGGATGTTATGCTTAAAAGCCGCCAGGGCTTCGGCGTCCGGACAGTCAACTATTTGGTTCTTTTTAGTTAGGAACCGAGTCCAGAATTTCCTGGCTGACTCTCCGGGCTGTTGAGTAATGTGGCTCAGGTCATCAGCGTCTGGTGGTCGCACTTATGTGCCCTGGAAGTTGTCAAGGAATGCGTCTTCCAGGTTTTCCCAACTGCCAATGGAATTTGCTGGCAGGCTGTTTAGCCAGTGCCGGGCTGGTCCTTTGAGCTTAAGGGGAAGATACTTGATGTCGTGTAGATCATCTCCGCGGGCCATGTGAATGTGGAGAAGGAAATCTTCAATCCATACTGCGGGGTCTGTTGTGCCATCGTATGATTCAATGTTTATGGGTTTCAACCCTTCTGGGAATTCTTGATCCATCACTTTGTCAGTGAAGCAGAGGGGGTGTGCGGCGCCCGTGTGCTGGGCTATGTGGCTACGCAGTTTGAATTGGTCTGGGTTGCTATGTTCGGCCCGGCCAGACTTGTTGATAATGCATCTGGCGTGACGGTCGTCGTCGCACGCTGGGGCGCGCCCCCGCGATCCATAGATCGATCTTGGCTGCCCTGCTTTGTTTTCCAGAATATCTTGCAGGTCTTTCCTGTTGCCCTGGGCTGTAGTGTATTGGCCTGGGGGTGCGGGCTGGTATTCGGGCTGATATCCCGTTTTATCTCGGCCACGGGGTGGCCGGTCAGCCGTTTGGCGCTCGAGTCCGTATTCCTCGGCTGCCAGGACTTCAGTCCATCTGTCTGTGAGCAGGTCTTGATCAGCTTGGAGTTGCTGTTGCTTCTTCTTCAGGCTCCTCGCAGTGGCTATAAGCCGACGCTTGAAGCGTTCCTGCTCCGCAGGATCCTCAGGCACGCCGAACTCGTCGTCACCGAGGCTAATCTCGTCTTCAGAGGGGGGCAGGTAGTTGTCCTCCTCTGGGTATCCATCCGTCGCCTGTTCTTTTGGGATGACCTGCTCATCTTCCTATTCGTCCTGCTATAAGGTGGGTTGGTCAGGGTTATATTCCTCTTCGGCGCCATCCGGATTGCTTTCATCTCCGGGGCCGGTATTACTGTGGCGGGGCTTGGAGCAGCGCCGACGATGCCCATGCTTCACTTTTCATCCTGAGGGGTTATCCTCTGCTGCCTCGTCGCCATTGGTTTCCTTCTGAGTATCCACCATATATATATCGTATGAGGAGGTGGCATTCCACTGCCCTGTGAGCGGTGGCTCCTATAATTCTCCTGCATTGTCGTCCATACCGTCGATGTCTTTGGAGTCAAAGTCAAGCGCGTCGGTAAAATCATCGACCATGGGAATGAAGTGGGTGGTGGGTGGGCAACGAATTCCGTCGTCGCCTGCTTCCCACTCAAGCTGGACATAGTTCGGCCCAGAGCCTCCTGACAAAGAGAGAGACTTCAATGAGTTCATCATGTCGCCAAAGGGCGAGTGCTGAAAGATGTCCGCCGCGGTGAACTCCATTACCAGAGCCCAACCAGGCTCGGCGGGCTCAGGAACGCGTGGATAGGAACCTACATCCGGATACGAATCCAAGGGTCCGGAGTCACAAGCTTCCTCAGAAGTGAGGCCTATGTTCGGCTCCAACATCGATGAGTGTATGGCCTATGGGGCGGGGTCCATCCCTCCGTCCGTAGGCAACGCAGCCTGCTCCGGATTTGAGTCCAGGGCAACTGCAGGGGTGAAATCTCGAGTGTTCTCCGACAGCAGGTCCAAGCCATGCTCGTCGTGACTGTCCGGTGCTCCTGGCGCGGGTCTGAATGCATCGAAGATCAAGTCGCCGCGGATATCCGTCGTGTAGTTCAAGTTTCCAAACCTGATTTGATGGCCAGGGGCGTAGCTATCAATCTGCTCCAGATGGCCAACCGAATTGGCCCGTAGTGCGAAGCCACTGAACACGAAGATCTATCCGGGGAGGAAAGTCTCGCCCTGGACTGCGTCGTTGACGATGATTGAAGGAGCCATCGAGCCCCGCAGCAACGATACAGAGGAACTCTCAATGAAAGCACCAATGTCGGTGTCAAAACCGGCGGATCTCGGGTAGGGGGTCCTGATCTGTGCGTCAAGGCTGACGGTAACAAGAAGAAAGGGACACAGATGTTTACCTAGGTTCGGGCCCTCTCGATGGAGGTAAAACCCTACTTCTTGCTTGATTAATATTGATGATATGGGTAGTACAAGAGTAGATCTACCACGAGATCGTAGAGGCTAAACCCTAAGAGCTAGCCTATGATGGTATGATTGTAATTGTGATCGGCCTTCTAAGGACCAACCTCTCCGGTTTATATAGACACCGGAGAAGGCTAGCGTTTACATGGAGTTGGTTACAAGGAAGGAAACACAATATCCGGATCACCAAGCTTGCCTTCCACACCAAGGAGAGTCCCATCCGGACACGGGCCGAAGTCTTGAGTCTTATATCTTCACGCTTCAATAGTCTGGATGTTGTACACAGTCCGGCTGTTCGGACACCCCCTAATCCAGGACTCCCTCACCCCCCTCTAGTGAGGCGGTGAAAGCCGCCATCAATGTTGATGAGATCAAAGATCTTGATTTGGATGATACCGAAGAACAAGCATCTCATGCAACACCTACTTCATCTAAAGTGAGGCTTGGGATCGTCATTCTGGAGAAGAACAAGAAACCAAAGACCGCACAAGTGATGTGTGAGCAAGTAACAAGAATAGGTGACATTGCCGAGGCTTCTCACTCATCATTTCAGTCTTTCATGAAGCAAGATGAGGCAGACTATGTCACCTTGGTCATGTATGAAGTCATTGCTTGTGGTGCAACAGTCGGTACCGATGAGTTATTCATGGCTAGAGAGTTGTTTGTGAAGAGGGTGCAAAGGGAGATGTTTCTTTACATTCCTCTTGAGTCCCGAAAGAGTTGGTTGTGTAGGAAGTATGATTTGAAGTATGGGAACTAGTGCAACATGCCTACCATCTATGTGTGATGACCATCTATTATGTTGAACCTAGTGCTTGATACCATTTCATCTTTTATGTTGAACCATCTTTTATGTTGTTGAAACATCTTTTATGTTGTTGAACCTATTGTTTGCTATTTATGAATGCATTTTGTAGAACTATTTCCTATTTATGAATGCATTGTTCTTGAACCATCTCTATGTTCATGTTGTTGGACCTAGTGTTTGCTATTTATGTATGTATTATGTATATGTTCTTGATCCAATTGGTCCTAACTTGTGTTTCATGTGTTGACGATTGTTTATTTGCAGATGTCATCGGATAGTGAAAGTGACAATGACACTAATTATGAAAGAAAGAAAGTTATGGTTCTCCAATATCAACATGGTATGGTCATGCTTTCTTCGGGTTTGTCATCCATAGTTGGTAAGTACTGCAAAAGTTGGGTCATGAAGGCCGATCCTAGGACATCTAGGTTGAGTGCTTTTGAATGGTTGCGAGAGACTATTGGCACCCGGAGAGACGTACACAAAGTTGTGAATGAATGCAAATGTGTTCTTTGATCTTCATGACAAGTTGGTTGCGGAGTATGGCCTGAAAGAAACATGTTTTATTACCACTTATGAGTCTCTTGCTATGTTCTTGTGGACCTTGGGCGGGTGCGAATCAAATAGGAGAACACAAAACCGTTTCAAACATGGAGCAGATACAGTCCACCGTAAGTGCCATGAGGTTCTACAATGTGTGGTCAAGATGTCATCTCACTACATTAGGCCTCAAGACCCAAATTTTCACATCGTCCATGATAGGATTAAGCATGACAAAAGGGCTTATCCTCATCTCAAAGACTACATTGGTGCAATAGATGAGACACATATTAGGGCTTCTATTCCAGAAGGACCTTCAAAAATAAGGTACATTGGAAGAACCGGTGCAACAACACAAAATGTGAAGGCAGTATGTGACTTTGATATGCATTTCATCACCTATGCTTCAATTGGACAACAGGGTTCTATGCATGACACAAGTGTGCTATTTCATGAAATTGAAAATGACAAGGCCACATTCCCACATCCTCCCAAGGGTAAGTATTTCCTGTTGTTGTAATTTATATAACATGTCCTTCAACTCACATTCATGTTTGTTGTCCATTTCTATAGGCAAGTATTACCTTGTAGACGCCGGCTATCCTAATAGGGATGGCTATCTAGCACCGTACAAAGGAGAACACTATCATGTCCCCGACATTCAATGAGGTGCACCCCCAACTACTCCTGTAGAGAAGTTCAACCGGATCCACTCCTCCAAGTGCAATACCATAGATAGAATCTTTGGTGTGTGGAAGATGAAATGGCAAATCTTGCTCAAGATGCCAAACTATTCGATTCAAACACTAAAGATGATAATTGCGGCTACCATGACACTACACAACTATGTCCTCCTCCATGACAAAGAGGATATCCACTTTCTTCGGTGTGAGAGGGATCCGGATTATGTCCCAACTATTCCAGAGAGATACAAGAAGTATGTTATTCCTCCAAATGCCTCGGGTTCTTCAACACCGTCAGAAAGTGGTCCTAACATGGATTTGTTTAGACATGAACTAGCTACCGCCATTGCTCTTAGTTGGTGAAGTAATCATGTTCATGTCTTTAGATGCGACACCATTTTGATTTGCATACTTATATGCAAATGAAACTTTTGTTGTATGACATATAACAAAACTAGTTATATCGTCTTTATTATAACTTGTCTTAACTAGGAATATTTGTGGCAAGTTCAAAAATACATGCCAGCTGTGTGCAGTTCTCTTTACACCTCTCAGTTAAAAAATACGTTAAAAAATAAGCCCTTTATAGTTCAAAAATACATGCCGGCTGCAGGCCCAGTTCTCTGTACACCTCTACCTCTCTGTACACCCTCTCTGTACTGGCAGAAATCAAACAAATTATCTCGTGTGAAAAAAAGGCCGGCCATTCACCCCAGGAAGCAGGCCCAGCTCGTTTCTCTCTTTGTATCAGCCTGTGTGCGCAGTTTAGCCCGAAATGGGCTGCTTCCAGCCGGCCCAAGGTGGCAAGAAGCTGGGCTGCCAACTAACCCCGGCACTAGGAGAAGCTTCCTCGCCTCCAGAACGGTTTGCGTAGCGCCACCTGAAGCGAGAAGTTGGGGCAGAAGCTGGATACGAGAAGTTTTGCTGAAGCTAGCGTGTTTCAGAACAGGCCCTAAGACTCCATCTCTCTCTCTCTCTCATACACACACACACACGCCGCCCACCCACCCAGACACACACACACACTAAGACTCCATCTCACACACACATGCTCTAGGCAGAGCATTTGTTCCTACCACCCTTCATCCAACCTTACGCATATGATAAACAATCACCTTGATTTACTTGTATAACATGGATAAATTCCACTTTACTTTAGTAGTTAGAAAACTTATCATCTCTACCCTTATAAAAAATCGAGTTGGCGATGATGGTGTGCCTGCCATCTTGTAATATAGACCGTCCGATCTATATTTGACGGATAGAAAGCAAACTATGATAATGTTACAAAAGATACACACACCTCTCTCCACATCCTTATCTCCCACAACCTCATTGCCGAGCAATTAAAAAAGGAAGTCTATGTAACAATCTAGGATGGTGGCCGCTGCTGCCTGCCTGCGCCGTCCATCCCCATGCCTCCGCCCAGTCCGACCACTAGTCACCACCACGCTCCACTCCTCCTCACCTTATCTCTCATCTTTCATTTTTTCGATGACATTCTCGAGATACCAGTTTTCCGATAAAATTCTCGAGATATCATTAGTTTTTACACATGGGATTACTCCTGCATGGGTCAATCACAACAAGTGTTTTGTAAAAAAAACGCATATTGATGTTCCGTGCAATGCACGAGCATCTTGCTTGTAATTATATAACGCAAATCACGAGCAGGAAGTGACATTTTTTTACACAACCACGTTAACATGGCCACGTAAATCACTAGCTAAAGTATAATAAAATTATACTTATATCCCGACGCAAAAGGTTGAGTACATATCCGAAGAGTAGAGTCGCACACACACACTCTGTCTCTCAGAATCACACACAGACAGACACACACCAGTTATGTGACGCCCACTTAAGCAGACACGTATGTTACAATTTGTGCACCTGCGGGTACACGTGATGGTGCGCATTTATTTAAGCCGGACGGCGAACCCAAACAGTATCTGCATTCATTCCCCTCCTGCCGCCTCTTCTCTAGTCGCCGTCGCCCAGTAGCCATGGCCCGGCCGAAGGTAACAACATACGCCATACTCCTGCCGGAGCGGCGCTTTAATCTGGAAATTTTAGTGTTCATGCATGCATCTCTTTGTGCTAGCACTCCTATATAAGGTCGACCAGTCGCTTCCCGCGGAAGTGCGTAGGTAGTGGAAGAGGAAGGAGAAGGGAAGCAGGCTGTGGAGTAACGTTTTGTACCACAATTTCTTAGGAAACTGAGTGCAATAATTGAGTAGTTTTGCAAACTATAAGTACTACACCTGAAACGGTTCAAAACCAATACTCCCTTGCCAGCGTGCGCTTCCGGCGTGAAATGGTCAGCATTGCCCTGGAGCGTCAGTGCCCCATTAATGCCCGGCCAGAGCGAAGGCGACCTCTCACTGGCGCCGGCTTTAAAGCAGCGTGACGGCCGAGAGAGCGCTGCTTCCCGGTGCACGCGACTCCTCCACGTCGAGGCTGGCCATAGGCCCTGTTTGGATCCATGGGTTAGAGTTAGTTTGTGCTAGTTGGGGTTCAAATAGCCCTAAAGTATCCAAGCATGAGGGTTAAATTGGAGCAAGTTGCACCAAACCCACCAAAAAAAAACTATCCCACCCAAGAGGTGCTAACTGGAGATAATTCTCATTGGGCCCACTGAAAAATCACTTTTCTCTCTCCATCAAGTGCATTTATTGTCAATATAACCCTGTCACCCAAACACACCTTTGGTTAAAGTTAGGGTTAGTCATGAGTTAGTCTAACCTCTAGCTAAGTTAGAGTATCCAAACAGGAGCAATATAGGACATGCAAGTTGCTCAAAGCATACAGTCAAATTTTGTATGTGGAAGGATCTTTTTTTTAAAACGGAACGTGAAAGGATCTTCGAAATATATAATTTTCAAATTATATAAAATATTATGAATAGTCAAAGGCATCCTCGAGGATACATTAGGCCCTATATAAAATCTTATCAATAGTCAAAACCAAGTGTTCTAAACGAGTTCAAAATGAGAAACTGGACCCACTCATGACACGGCACGCCTGTCTCGTTTGGTCCATCGGTCAAAGCGCTTCCTCTTCTTAGCATAACAATAGAGTACAGTACTATTTTTTTAGAATGCTCTTGGCATGTCGCTAACATGTGATGAGTTAACCGACCTCAATAGACGGCAAAAACGCCAGCCCGCCGCACTTTGAGAGAGACGAGGAGCAAGAAGCGATATGGGCTGCTAGATTACTAGAGCTAGGTGTCGCACGGAAGCCAAGAAATATGGTGAGAGCGTGGGTTAGCCATGTACTAGTATGATGTAACTACACTGGGCTGCCGTGTTTCGTACTCTTTCAGTCCACTCTGGAGATGATTGGTTGACTTTATATCACTGAATAATATAAAATATTATGAGTGCATATGCTCCACCACGAGGTTCCTTGCTCCTTCTCGGTCGTCGGGAATCTATATTTGTGACGCCCCCGATTCAATCGTACACTAATCATACACGCAAACGTGTACGATCAAGATCAGGGACTCACGGGAAGATATCACAACACAACTCTAAAATAAAATAAGTCATACAAGCATCATAATACAAGCCAGGGGCCTCGAGGGCTCGAATACAAGTGCTCGATCATAGATGAGTCAGCGGAAGCAACAATATCTGAGTACAGACATAAGTTAAACAAGTTTCCATAAGATGGCTAGCACAAACTGGGATACAGATCAAAAGAGGTGCATGCCTCCTGCCTGGGATCCTCCTAAACTACTCCTGGTCGTCGTCAGTAGCCTGCACGTAGTAGTAGGCACCTCCAGTGTAGTAGGAGTCGTCGTCGACGGTGGCGTCTGGCTCCAGGGCTCCAGCATCTGGTTGCGACAACCAGGTAGAAGGGAAAAGGGGAAAAGAGGGAGAAAAGCAACCGTGAGTACTCATCCAAAGTACTCGCAAGCAAGGAGCTACACTACATATGCATGGGTATATGTGTAAGGAGGCAATATGAGTGGACTGAACTGCAGAATGCCAGAATGAGAGGGGGATAGCTAGTCCTATCGAAGACTACGCTTCTGGCAGCCTCGATCTTGCAGCATGTAGAAGAGAGTAGATTGAAGTCCTCCAAGTAGCATCGCATAGCATAATCCTATCCGGCGATCCTCCCCTTGTCGCCCTGTTAGAGAGCGATCACCGGGTTGTATCTAGCACTTGAAAGGGTGTGTTTTATTAAGTATCTTGTTCTAGTTGTCATAAGGTCAAGGTACAACTCCAAGTCGTCCTGTTACCGAAGATCACGACTATTTGAATAGATTAACTTCCCTGCAGGGGTGCACCACATAACCCAACACGCTCGATCCCATTTGGCCGGACACACTTTCCTGGGTCATGCCCGGCCTCGGAAGATCAACACGTCGCAGCCCCACCTAGGCCTAACAGAGAGGTCAGCAAGCCGGTCTAACTCCTATGGCGCAGGGGTCTGGGCCCATCACCCATTGCAGGCCCACCTGTCTCCTAGGTGGTCTCAACCTGCCCTGTCGCTCCGCCACAAAGTAACAGTCAGGGGCCGTCGGGAACCCAGGCCCACCTCTACCGGGATGGAGCCACCTGTCCTTTCAGCCCCCTCATCAGAATCACTTGCGGGTACTCATTGAGCTGACCCGACTTTAGTCACCAACTGTATAGTATGTCTATATATGTATAGTATATACCCATGATCACCTCCCGAGTGATCACGGCCCAATAGATAGCAAGGCAGACTGACAAGAATGTAGGGCCACAGATGATAAACTAGCATCCTATACTAAGTATTTAGGATTGCAGGTAAGGTATCAACAGATGTAGCAACAATGTCAGGCTATGCATCAGAATAGGATTAACGGAAAGCAGTAACATGCTACACTACTCTAATGCAAGCAGTATAGAGGAGAATAGGCGATATCTGGTGATCAAGGGGGGGGGGCTTGCCTGGTTGCTCTGGCAAGAGAGAGGGGTCGTCAACTTCGTAGTCGTACTGGGTAGGAGCGACGTCGGTCTCGGTGTCTAGCGGAAGAAGAGGGTAAGAAACAATGAATACAATGCAAACAGATGCATGACGATGCATGACAAAGCAAAACGTGATGCTAGGCGTGGCCTAACACCGTATGAGGTGATGCCGGTGAAGGGAGGAAACATCCGGGAAAGTATCCCCGGTGTTTCGTGCTTCCGGGCAGAGGAGCCGGAGGGGGAAAGTTGCGAGTTCTATAGGTTAGGGATGTGTGGCGGACGAACGGGCTGCATTTCTGGATTCGTCTCGTCATTCTGAGCAACTTTCATGTTGAAAATAATTTAATCCGAGTTACGATTTAAAAGATATGATTTTCTAAAGATTTTATTAATTTCTGGAATTTAATTAATTAT